GTACTCAATGTTGGTGTTGTCATTGGCTGAGCTCGACTCCAGACTCCTGTGGACAGAAGACAAAAGTGGGACAGGGGGACAGGTTGGGGGGGGGGCACATGACTAACAAGCTCCTCCTCCAATGACTCCTACCTGGAGAGCAGCGAGAACAGCGCAGGAACCAGAGTCTCCGCCCTCTTCAGCTTCTTCTTGTGCTGCAGCAGCTCCAGGATCAGGGTAACTCTCTGCCATGGAACAGCGCCCTCATCTGGAATAACCACCACACTGTCCTGGGGTTTCCTTAGAGACATTTTGCTGCGTCTGGTCTGCTGCACAGTCACACCCACTGTCTTTTTCTCAGGGGGAGAAATCTCATTGGCCACGAGCTGAGCGTCCACGCTGATCTGATGGAGACAGGAAGTAGACAGTGAACATTAACACAAGGACGCAGGAGACAAGGGAGGAAAGGACTTCCTTTCTTCTTTCCTTCTCACCCTTTTAAAGACACTGCTGATGGTGTTGGCCACTAGGGGGCTCGTGTTCTCCAGCAGCAGATCAAACATCACCTTCAGCAACTGCTGTTGCACCGTCTCATTCTCAATGGCCAGGAAGAAGGACTTGGTGATCTGAGGAGAGGAGCGGAGGACACAGAGTGAGGAAGAGTCAACAAATGTCCAGCTCAGGATCCTAGGTGGAACCAGATCCAGAACCAGGCTCAGTCCTGACCTGCTCCAGGGCACTGATCTGACAGCTGGGGACATCAGGGTGTGGCTGCAGGGAGCTCCTCAGCGCTCTGACGAACAGGTCGAGACAGGTGGAGTCCCTGGCCAACACGGCCGCTGACGCCTCGTTGAACTTGGTGACGACCAGCTGCAGGAGCTGAGCCTCGGAGCGCAGCAGCCGCACCGGCGTGTCCAGGGTGCTCTGCTCCAGGAGCCGATCCAGAACAGGGAGCAGAGCCAGGAGGACAGACTGGAGGGGGAGGGGTGAGACAGGAGGAGACGTTAGCTGTTCATGGTTATGGAGTCACCATGGAGTCCACGTGTTTTCAACTCACCTCTCCGTTCACGTTGCTGAGCGCTCGCAGCAGGATGGCGGCGGTGTACGACGGACAGCCGGGCGCCTGGACGCTCCTCAGCAGCTGCTGCAGAGACGTCTGCAGCGCCTCCCGCCGCTTCTTCACTGTAGACGAGGACGACTCATCGTGGAGGACGGAGAGGGCCTGCAGCAGACAAAGGACAACTCTAACACACCGCTACACAGACGAGTCCAACAAACACCAGTCAAACCAGGAAGACCTTCTCACCAAGCTCAGGTACGCTGGGTCGGCCAGGACCTCCTCTGATGTCATCATCAGCTTCTCCATGATAGGCTGGTAGAGCGAGACCCCGGCTCCTGAGAGGGTTTGCAGAGCAGCCAGCGCCGCCCTCCGTACTTCACGCAGTGGAGACGTCAGACAGCAGAGGAGTGAGGGGACCACTGACAAAGAGACACAGAGAGACGAGATCCAGACAGAGTCAGACCAGGTCCAGACCGGGTCCAGACCAGACTTTAGAACCTGGCACACTCACCTGGTGAGTCTGCAGCCGTCAGCTCCTGCAGGGCAGCAGTGGACTGCACGCCCAGCAGCACCTGACCTACGTACAGGGCTCGGGTCTGGAGGACAGCACTGACCTTCAGGTCCAGCTGGTCCCCCTGGTTACTGCCGTATCCCCACAGCAGACACAGGAACCTAAAGAGATACAGCGGCTCCTGCAGGTGGAGCTGAAGAACACAGGCGGTTCAGTCACACGCTGCTGCTGCAGATCGTTAGCAAGTTTGATTTTTAAAACCTTTTTAGTTTAAAACTTTAGCAAAGGTTTGGTAACAGACTCAGACCTGGACAAAGAGTTTCATCAAGATCCTGAACCTGCCCGCTGCTGGACCTTCTGCTGCACCACTGATGACCATACTGAAGACACGACACATCAGGCCCAGGTACAGACAGGTGTTGGTGTCCATCTTCTCAGGGTTCCACCAGGTGTCGCCTGGAAGACGGGAGAACATCTGGTCACAGAACCTCACACAGCAACAACCTGAAGAACATCTCCGGAGAAGGTCTCACCTTTGAAGGATGCGTCATGACATTTCATGGAGGAGATGAAGTCTTTCAGCAGAGACATCAGAGCCAAGCTGAACTCCAGGTCCACGTGGTCTCCAGGACCCCAGCGACGCTCGCACTCGCTTAGGAACAGGGTCAAAGAGTCGGCGAAGGAAGAGGGAACAGACACGGGACACTGAGATCCCTGTCCATTGTCTCTGGTGATGAAGTCCAGCAGAGGGCGCTCCAGCAGCGTGAAGACCCTCTGAGCCATCAGGAAGTGCAGGGTCTCTCTGAGCTGGTCCAGACTGAGCAGCAGGATGCGGGCCAGGACCAGGACGGAGGCTCGCTCCCTGGGGTTGGAGTTCTGCTGCTGCTCCACCAACAGGGCCAGCTTCTCCAGCTGATGGAGCAAAGAGAGTAAATAAACAGGTGAAACAGCTCCCCCTACTGGTTTGGATTGTCTCATCGAGCGATGGGTTTTACTATTTAAATATGCTGAAGGACAGAGATAGAATGGAGTTCTCAAACTACTACTACGCCACCTGACTGTAGACTTGTGGAATTCTCACTCACCATCTCCCGTTTGGAGAAATGGTCCATGTTGGACAGGTTCTTGGTCAAAGTGAGGACCAGATGCTCGTTGACCAAACCCACAAGGTCAGCACCAGAGTGTTTCTTCATCATGGTGTCCAGCTCTGTGTGGACCACATGGACAAAAGTGGACTTTAGTACAGATTATTTTAAAACCATGAAATAAAAAAAAAAAATCAGCAACAACTGAACTCTGATTAATTAACAAGATCTTTTTGTTTCCTTCTTCCCAATCCCAACAGCATGCTTTTATTTTGAAACATAAACAGGAAACTGCTGTTTTTTCTTTTTTTGTGTTACCTTTGGCCCAGTTTAGGGTGAGCGGGTGTTTGGCGATGACACGGGATCGGGCGACACAGAAAGTGAAGCTGAGCTCAGCAGACTCCAGCCGAGTGCTGGTTACGACCAGGAGGGGGAGCAGTTTCCAGCCCGCTCTCTGCAGCCGCTCCGTGTCACCTTTCTCCAACCGAGGGTCGGACAGTAAACGCACCGCTTCAGTCAGCACAGGCAGCCTGTGAGTCAAAGACGGACAACGTCTAAGACAACAGCAGCTAATGACGCTAAAAGTTAGCCAAATGATTAGCCACAGTTATTATCCATCGCTAATGTGTGTGTGAGTGTGTGTACTTCACTGACCACTGCTTGTTTGCTGTCAGCTCCGCTGTGGACAGCAGAGACAGCAGAGAGGACACTATGTCTTCAGGGTCCAAATCATCAAACAAGACCTGAGAAGAAGACAAGGACAGAGGACGGGTTTCTGAGAGACGGAAACCGAGGTCTTAGTCATCAGAACAGAATGAAGACCAGGACCGTCACTGACCTCCACGACCTTCAGAGCAGCAGACACCACCTCAGGGACGTCGTCCTTCAGACAGTCCATCACAGCATCTCTGAGGAAGACCTGGTCCAGACTCTGCTGCTCCTGGAACCACACAGAAGACCACGGTTTAGAAAAGAGAGACAAGTTGGTGAGACGTCAAAGACTGGATTTGTCCTTCACACCTGTCCAGACGTGACCACGTCCATCAGATGTTCCACCGCCGACACTCGGACTGAAGACAGCGGGTGTTTGAGGCTGAGGAAAAGAGATGTGTCCGAGTCCCCCAGGATCTGCAGAAGAACCCACGAGGACAGGGGAACGTTCAGGGTCTAGACTGGTGGGGACTGAGAAGACAAAGACACTGGACTCACCTGGAACTTTCCACTGCTCACAGACAAGGACAGGAAACGGTGGAAGAGATGTTTCTGCTCACTGGAGCTGCTCAGGTCGGTCACATGACCAGAGAGGACGCTGTCCAGAGCCGCACAGTATCTGATGGAGGACACCAGGGGGCGTGATATCATCACAGTCCAGAACTACAAAATCTCAACCTGATCCAGAACTATGGACTGATCAACTAAAAACCAGTGATGTGAAGCAAACCAGACTCACCTGGACTCAAAAAGCTGGACCAGAGGCAGCAGACGCTGGTCCAGGGCTGAGACCTCCTCATTAGAGGACATGGTCTGACTCAGATACTGGTCCAACAGCAAACTGCAGGACAAAGACAAACGTCAACACGAACTTCTGAGCTCTGACCTGAAGCTGCGATGGTGGAGGAGAAACTCACCGGGCCACAGTCTGGTCCAGTCCTTTGGTGAGAGGAACCGTCTTCAGGAGGGACTCCAGGACATGGAGTTTGTCTGTCTCTGTCTCATCACCTGTGACAAGAACAGATAGTTGGACCTTGTCTCTGTCCTCAGAGAACCTCTGCTGGTTCTGGTACTGACCTGATTGGCTGACAAAGATCTGCTGGACCAGGTAGGGCACCAGGTGGCGCAGCAGGGGAGACACGTCATAATGCGCTGCCATGTCCTCCAGAGTGGACACGAGCTCGGTCATGGAGCAGAGGCGGCTGAAGGCTCTGAGGACAAGGACAGCGTCAGGAGAGACAGACTTTCAGGAGGTCAGGGTGCACAGAAACAGAAGGTCACACAGAGGTCAACATTTCTTTACTCCAAAAATTTATGAATCAGAATCAGAACGAGATCCACTGGAAAAATACCAAACACTACTCAGTACTACTGCTAGGCTTCCTGGGTTCCTACAGAAGCGGTGTGGGCTGTGGACGTGGACCGAGGTCAGATCTCAACAGGTTCAGCTTCCTCTGTGGAACTCACTTGTGTCCAGCAGCGCCCTCTGTCTGGTTCTGCAGTAGGACCACCAAAGAGCCCAGACCCTCCTTGGCCAGGACAGGCTCCTTGAGCAGAGACCTGCTGATGTGGACGGCCAGACTGTCCACCAGCCCCGCCTCCATCACCACCTTCACCGCCAGCTGACACACGATCATGTAGGTGGCAGCTTTGTAGTCCGTCAGCGTGGACTTCAGACCCTGGAGGGACAGGAGGACAACCTCAGACAGCTGTCTTCAGCTGGAGACCACTCAGAGACATGAGGACACATGGAAAAGTACTGACCCTCTGGACATACGGCAGCAGTTTGGAGACGACAGACTCAGACACTTTGTCCATGGCCTCCAGAGCAGAGACGATAGTGGAGGCATAGAAGGAGAAGATGACTCTGAGCTGGGAGCAACTCCCCGAGAGTCCAGAGAAGGCCTGCGGGACAAGGAGACGAAGACACAGCAGAGACACAGAGGAGAGAGACAAAGGAGGTGAGAGTGGAGGAGACAAAGACATAACAGCAGCTTCACATTTTTAACTTCCTCTCTCTTCCCTCCAGGTTACCTGGATACTCCTGGTCACCATGGAGCAGATGAAGTCCATGAAGCTCAGGTCAGAGTAGCAGTGAGTGACCAGGGTGGTCCTGGACAAGGGGACACCTGGTTTCTACACAAACAGACAAAAAATAAACATCGGCGTAAACACGGCTCAGACTGGGGTCAGAGGTCAGAGGTCAGACCTGCAGACATTGCAGCCAGTTCCAGCGGTTAGTGGGTGCACTGATCTTCAGCAGCTGCAGGACTCTGACGAAGATGTTGGTGTCGTAGTAGGGCAGGACGCAGGCCATGAGTTGGTCCACGTTATACAGCTGTAAGTGGAAACTGACACACACACACACCACAGATTAGCACCACAGAAACACGCCCCCTGCTGCTCTTCCTTGTCCTACCTGTACACAGACAGATATTCTTCACCAATAAATAAATCAACAGTGTTTCATCACCACGGTAACCAGGAAAAGTAACAAGGAACCGTGAAAGGAACTTCTGTCGTCCTGCCACAGAAACAACAACAAACAAGTGTGTGTGTGTGTGTGTGTGCGAAACAGGACTGAGAACAGTGCAGATGTTCTAGTCCAGGAACAAGACCCATCTGTGGGCAGTACCAGTAACTGTGGACATTTTTAACAAAGGAAATAGCAACTGCATTATAACAGCACAGAAACTGTTGGTAAAAATCTCCACTGCACCTTTTCCAGGAAATATATGCTTTCCTTTCACAGGACCTAGTGCCAGGAACTTTGGACAGTACCAAGAACAACTGACCCTGAACAATCTATAACGGTACTACATAGGAACTGTGTGTATGTTCTTTGTTCAAACAAAACATAGGAACTGTGTGTATGTTCTTTGTTGGACTTTGTGGAACAACAGCTGGTACAAATGGAATGAATTTTTTTTAATCTTGTTTTTACGTCGTACCGGTGCAGCAGCCACTCGAGGCACTTGTGAGCAGGTTTGAGCAGGAAGTACGGAGACAGACGGCACAGGAAAAGAGAAATGTCTTCATCCAGTTTCTGGTTGACCTCTTTGGACTGGACGCTGCGCTCCAGAGTCAGAGACGCTCGACTGAAAAGAGAGTCCTGGAACTCCTGGAAGGAAGGTTCGATTCCCATCAGCTCCTCTAGCCCGGTGCAGCCTGGAGACAAAGGACAGTAGAGTCAGGTCACTGAGGTGAGGAGATACAGGGGCAGTATTGTACAGAGGGGCGGAGCTAACCCAGGGCGTAGAAGGTGCTTCTGTCCATAGTTGCGGCATCTTTAGGGTCAAAGAGCAGCGAGGCGACATTTCTGCAGCTCAGAAGGGAGGAGTCATTCTGAGGCAGCGCCAGCCGCTTCAGCTGATGAGCTAATGACGTCATCCTGTCACAGATACGTCACTTTTATTCTGTAACAAAAAACACATCTTTTTAAATTCTCAAAAACCAACCACAGAACGATAATGAAAAAAATGAAGATAAGGTTAGAAAAGGTAGAGATATTAGCCAAAGAGAAAAAGGACAGAACTGAAGAAAGTCAGAGTCTGAGGCAATAAAACAACCATAGATGAAGATGAGGTCAGAAAAGAACATTGATTTATTTTTCTAATCCACTGAGTTAATTCTAACACATGTTTCAGATTATTTCATGCTGCTGTATAACAAACAAAACAACTAATTTGAACAATTTTTAGTTTAAATCCTTTACATTTACATGACAAGTAAATTTGTCTTATCCTAAATTCGTTAAAACACATTCCATGATTCATGTTGTGTTGTACATCTTACACTTGTAAAGTACACACAGTTTCATGTCAGAGTCATCTCTCTGTTGCAGCTGTGCTGTAACAGATTCACTCATAATTATTACATCTCCTTCAACTAATTAATGAAGTTGTATCTATCTAACTAGTTGTGCTCAGCATAGACGATTAAGCCATTTACTGTAAGTTCAAACGTCACCGCAAAATACACTTTATTACGGAAGGTTTATGAGAAAAGAAAACGAAAAGTTGAAAAACTCACATGTTTCGGTACTAGCACGTTGTTGCTGTAAGAAATGACCTCCTTTATTCTGCTTCCGGGTGGGGACTACGACCTAATATCCGGTAAGATGTATCCCTCCAGTTAACTTCCGCCTTTGCCCTACGTTTACGGACGAAAAGACTGTAAACGTTCAGCGTTGTTTTACGGACAGCAAAAATACCGATCATGATCATTTACGGTTAAAATAAAGGAGAGTCTCGTTTAATAGGAGCGTGGCAGCGTCCGACAGGTCTTTTAATAACATGTCCCATATATTTCATTGTCCAAAGTTTGGCGCCAAGGTGTTACAGAAATACTGGAAAATACTTTAAAAAAAGGAGAATACGGAGAAACAGTGTCACTTTCAATCAGTTTTTATTTTTTTAAATGATTAACAAGAGATAAATCTTTCAAGTCTTAACAGTCACGTCCATAAAGCTAGTGGAACAGACTCTGCAGCTACAAGGTCAGGGCGTCATCATAATGCTAACTATGAAAATAAACAACATAATCAATACCTCCAATATATACAAATAAACCTGAAACATTAGCTTTGCACACTCTCAATACTACATTACAAACATTTTACCGTTACTGTAAACTTTTATTGTCAAATATACAGTATACACCTCTTTTTTATTTATTTGAAAATAAAAGTCATTAGTGTAAAATGATGATGTCAGTTTTTTTTTCAGAACTGGCAAAAGTTAACTTGAACTGTATGTGTATGTGTTAAACATTTCTAATGTTGGCTTATTAACCCCAAACAGTATGTTGTTTTATGTGCAAATACAGCCCAAGTACCAAACCCAAACTTTGGAAGCACGTGTAGTACTTTTTGTCCAACGACTCTGCTAATCCTTGGAAAGCTCAAACTCCCGAAATTTCATGTCCAAATTATAAAACCAGTGGCTTGAACTCTTTTATTCTTCCTTCTAACGGCTTCTCTACGTCTCCTTTGCCGTTGTTGACGCTCGACTGCCCCCCAGTGGTTACATGTAGAATGTCAGATATTTTCATGCAGAGTTTCACAGAAATTACGGCACTGAATTCATTTACAAAAGTCTCACAGGTCGATCTGAACAATGTTACCAAGGCATCTGTAAAAGTGTGAAGTGTGGTATTTAAAAAAAAAGTTGATTAACACAAACTGAAAAACAATAAACAATCGCACACTCTCCTTCATTCTGTATGTCTTCATGTCCACTCTGTGAAATGGAAGCTACAGTTCAGTGGCTGAGTTCAGTTAACGAACTGCCATCCTGCCGTGAGTTAGTGAGTTTAACCTGGTTAGTAACTTACAGTAAGAATAAAAGACACCCCTCTATATGTTTTGTAAGCACAACAGTTTACCTCTTTGAATCACATTACAAATCACAAGGGGGCGCTGACTCAGAAATTGGAAACACTCAAAACACTAAAAAGCGAACACTGGAAAATGGAACACATTAAAAACAAACACCAACAAATGAAACTGCATTGTGACTTTGTAAGGAGTGATTTTATCTTTGTGCAAAACATGTAGGAAGTCTCAGTAATATGTACAAAAATAGTTTTCATGTTGTTACTACGCAAAAAAGTCACAAACAGTGAAGTTCAATCGTGGGAAAGGTCGCTTAACTTCACTCTGTCTGCCTCCAGAGGGCAACAGCTGCGCCCCCTTTGTCGAAAGCCTTTTGTCCCAGAGCTGAATAAGAGGTGAAGGCATCACGGTGACCTTACCCTTTTCTCTCTCTTATTTTGGCGAGCCCAGAGGGCAGTATCAAGGTTCCAGTTTCCTGGTCGTTCGGCAGCAGAATCTGGACTTGAACTTGTGGCAGTAATACAGACTTCCTAAGTGGGGTCAAAGTTCAAGTGTCAGACAGTGACAAAGGACACTTGGCAGGAAGGAAGGCTTTCATTGGCTGTAGACAATGTTCTGTAGTGTGATGTCATCGATAGGGAGCAAAGAGTTCCGAGGCGAGCTATTGGTGGAAACCAGACTTTTCTTTTGATGTGGTTTTTTGTTTTCCCTGATTTAGCCTCAAACTGGGTCAAAATGATCAGGATGTGATCTGGTCTCAGGAAGACGGGTCTGTAGTGTGGGATTAAAATTTAGAGACACCTTTTGGTCATAAAGTCAGAACATCCTAGGTTTTATCTAAGCCCAGAACATCAACAGATACTGAACCACCTAGAGACTTTGGAGGTCCACCTTCCTCTCTGACCGACTCATCAAACCTGGGCTCATCAAAACAAGGAAGACATTGGATCTAAAGGTCAAGACTAGGAAGTGGACTGAGGCTGGTACACTTTATTGGACTAAGAACTTTCTAGAGCCAAGAGCTCTTCTGAATCTGGAGCCTGGCAACGACCCAGGTCATGGATGACTGGGAAGACGCTGGTACTCAGACCTTCTTCCTGCTCTGGCAACTGTGATAGAACATCAAAATGGTTTTGGTTGCGGTTCTGGCTGCACCTTTGATCATCAGGGTTTGTTTGGAGAAGTTTGTGGGTCCAGGGGAGTTGATGGTGATATTATCCTACGCCTCCTTTTCTCCAGATGTTTGAACAAGGTCTCAGGTTGTGGAAGAAGAACTAGAAGTCGAAGTCCCAGCCGGTGACGTCGTCAGGTGGAGGTTCATCTGTGTCTTCAGGGAAACTGTCAAAGTTACTGGTGTCGGTAGGGGAGGACACCTGGACAGAACGACCTGGATTAAAAACAGATCCTCACACTGGTCCTAAAAGTCTTCTCTACGGCGCCCACTACAGGAGCTTAAGTGTTCCTCAATAGATCGTTGTTGGACTTACGTAAGGTGTGATGGGTGGAGTCAGGGTTCCTTTTCTCAGACCTTCCCAGTTAAAGCCCTCAAACCACCTGGAGAAGAACAACAACAACGTTGACGTCACTGATTCACTGAGGAGGAAGCTGATGTTTGAGGTCGCACTCACTTGTGCTTCTGGATGTCTTTGACTCCGTTCTTCAGGTTCCCAAGTCTCTCTGAAGGATTGTCCCTGTGGACAAAGAACCCACCAGTGGATCAAAACAACCAGAGGATCAAAAACCCCCCCCCCTCCCCCCCGTCACCACCTCCATCCCCGTCACCACCCACACCTCCACCACCACCACCCACACCTCCACCTCCACCACCCACCCCTCCCCCCCCGTCACCACCTCCATCCCCGTCACCACCCACACCTCCGCCCCCGTCACCACCTCCATCCCCGTCACCACCCACACCTCCACCACCACCACCCACACCTCCACCTCCACCACCCACACCTCCCCCCCCGTCACCACCTCCACCCCCGCCAGCACCTCCACTCCCGTCAGCACCTCCCCCACCCACACCTCCACCTCCACCACCCACCCCTCCCCCCCCGTCACCACCTCCACCCCCGTCACCCCCTCCCCCACCCACACCTCCACCACCACCACCCACATCTCCACCCCCGTCACCACCTTCACCCCCGTCACCACCCCCCCCACCCACACCTCCGCCCCCGTCACCACCTCCATCCCCGTCACCACCTCCACCCCCGCCACCACCTCCATCCCCGTCACCACCTCCATCCCCGTCACCACCCACACCTCCGCCCCCGTCACCACCTCCATCCCCGTCACCACCTCCATCCCCGTCACCACCCACACCTCCGCCCCCGTCACCACCTCCACCACCACCACCCACACCTCCACCTCCACCACCCACACCTCCCCCCCCGTCACCACCTCCATCCCCGTCACCACCCACACCTCCACCCTGAGCCTCACCTGCAGAGCTTCTTGATAAGGTTGCAGGCGTTCTTGGTGATCTTCTTGGGGAACTCAATCATGTCAATGCCTCTCAGGATGACGTTGTAGGTCTTCATTGGATCTGGACCTGAGAAGGGAGGACTGGACACACAAACACAAACCTCAGCAGCAGCTTCACCAACACTGCTGCCGTCTGCCGACTTCTCTTCCCCCCCCCCCGCCAGCACCTCCCCCCCCGTCACCACCTCCACCCCGTCACCACCTCCACCACCCACCCCTCCCCCCCCGTCACCACCTCCACCACCAACACCCACACCTCCACCCCTGTCACCACCTCCACCACCCACCCCTCCCCCCCCGTCACCACCTCCACCACCAACACCCACACCTCCACCACCACCACCCACATCTCCACCCCCGTCACCACCTTCACCCCCGTCACCACCTTCACCCCCGTCACCACCTTCACCCCCGTCACCACCCCCACCACCCACACCTCCCCCCCCGTCACCACCTCCATCCCCGTCACCACCTCCATCCCCGTCACCACCTCCACCCCCGTCAGCACCTCCCCCACCCACACCTCCACCCCGTCACCACCCACACCTCCGCCCCCGTCACCACCTCCACCACCCACCCCTCCCCCCCCGTCACCACCTCCACCCCCGCCAGCACCTCCACTCCCGTCAGCACCTCCCCCACCCACACCTCCACCACCACCACCCACACCTCCCCCCCCGTCACCACCTCCACCACCAACACCCACACCTCCACCCCCGCCCCCCCCCCCACCACCCACACCTCCACCCCCGCCCCCCCCCCCACCACCCACACCTCCCCCCCCGTCACCACCTCCACCACCAACACCCACACCTCCACCACCACCACCCACACCTCCCCCCCCGTCACCACCTCCACCCCGTCACCACCCACACCTCCACCCCCGCCAGCACCTCCACTCCCGTCAGCACCTCCCCCACCCACACCTCCGCCCCCGTCACCACCTCCATCCCCGTCACCACCTCCACCCCGTCACCACCCACACCTCCGCCCCCGTCACCACCTCCACCCCCGCCACCACCTCCATCCCCGTCACCACCCACACCTCCGCCCCCGTCACCACCTCCATCCCCGTCACCACCTCCACCCCGTCACCACCCACACCTCCACCTCCACCACCCACCCCTCCCCCCCCGTCACCACCTCCACCCCGTCACCACCTCCACCCCGTCACCACCCACACCTCCGCCCCCGTCACCACCTCCATCCCCGTCACCACCTCCACCCCCGCCACCACCTCCACCACCACCACCCACACCTCCCCCCCCGTCACCACCTCCATCCCCGTCACCACCCACACCTCCACCACCACCACCCACATCTCCACCCCCGTCACCACCACCACCACCCACATCTCCACCCCCGTCACCACCACCACCACCCACACCTCCACCTCCACCACCCACACCTCCCCCCCCGTCACCACCTCCACCACCAACACCCACACCTCCACCCTGAGCCTCACCTGCAGAGCTTCTTGATAAGGTTGCAGGCGTTCTTGGTGATCTTCTTGGGGAACTCAATCATGTCAATGCCTCTCAGGATGACGTTGTAGGTCTTCATTGGATCTGGACCTGAGAAGGGAGGACTGGACACACAAACACAAACCTCAGCAGCAGCTTCACCAGCGCCCAACACTGCTGTCGTCTGCAGACTACTGTTCTCACCTGCCCGTCAGCAGCTCAAACATGAGGATCCCCAGAGACCAGTAGTCGGCCGACACATCGTGACCCTTGTTGAGGATGATCTCTGGAGCAACGTACTCCGGTGTTCCACAGAAGGTCCACGTCTTCTTACAGAACCCGATCTTCTTAGCAAAACCAAAGTCAACCTGGAGACGACAAAGTTACTTTTCAACTTGATCAGAACTTTTATCTTTGAAGGTTAATCCACCGAGGGAGCGTTTGAACGATCATCCAAGGCTGTGAGAACACGTGAGAACACGTGAGAACACGTGAGAACACGTGAGAACACGTGAGAACGTGCCAGAGAAAACAATGAGAACTGAGGGAGTATTTCGTACCACTTTGGCGTATCCTCGACTGTCCAGGATCAGGTTCTCGGGCTTCAGGTCTCTGTAGATGATGCCTTTAGCGTGAAGGTAAGCGAAGGCTTCAACCACACATGCCGTGTAGAACCTGGTGGTGGAGTCTTCGAAGGAACCTCTGAAAACCAGATGGTGACCAGGTTCAGGTGCAACACACATCAAAGGTGGAGGAAACAACCAACGGTGTGGGTGGAGTTTGTTGTTGTTGGTACCTGTCTCTCAGGATGGTCCACAGTTCTCCACCCAGACACGCCTCCATCAGCATGTACAGGTATTTACTGTCTTTGAAGGTCCGGTACAACCTGAACACAACACACAACACCAAATGAGTGAGGCGGATATGGTCACATGACCACACCGTGACGATGACAACGACGGCCACTCTGACCTAACCACGAAGTCGGAGTGGGCCTCCGTCATGATGTGTTTCTCGGAGCGGATGTGCTCCTGTTGTCGTGTGTCCACTATGTGGCGCTTCTTCAGGATCTTCATGGCAAACGTTTTTGCCTCCTCACTCTTCAGCTGCACCTGAACACAACACAGAATTCATCTCTGGTTAGTTCTCCTTAAACAAACAACTGGGCCTGTGCTCTTAGCTAACTTACTCTTGGCTAACTTAGGTTACCTACTTACTGACTAACTGTTGTTAACTGTTTAAGCTCTTCTCCAACACTGGTGAGTTTGTTTTGTTTTTTCTGATAAACTTCTTAACCTTTAGGTTCAAATTAGCTGCTTAACTTATTCTAAGTTAGCTTCAGAGGACTTTTGTCTTTGTTGTTGCTACTTTAAAGCCAAATGTAAATGATCACTCACATAAATACAAGCTAGCTTATTATTATTATATATTATATAATCATTGTTGGTAATGGATGTTTATTTTTAAACTACATTAGCTAACTACATGCTATCTTGTATGCTAATGCTATTTTATCACATTAAACTTGACTTTTCAATTTTGCAGGACCAAACCACCCCCCCCCCCCCCCCCCCTCCCCCCCCCCCCCCCACCCCCCCCCCCCACACCCTAGACACTATCATCTAGTCCAGGGTCAGGGTTATCAGGTTCCACTATTTAATCTTTACCAAACAGTCTGCTGTATATTTATATACTGTGTGTGTGTATAGGTGTGTATGTGTATGTGTGTGTGTGTGATGAGATCATTGTCGTGTCGTCACCACGTCGTTAACGTCTTCTTCCTGCGTTCTCTCATTGCTATTTTCTGTCAGATATTTCACACCATGTGACAGACTCTGGAAAACCATGTGACGGCAGTGTCAGGTTTTATGTGTGTGTGAAGTCACAGGTCAGAGGTCGTACTTTTCCTCAGTGCAGAATTACGCTCCAACCCTCAGGTTATAAATACCCACAGAGGAATGATGGGAAACCCTGCCCGGGGATTCCTTCCTGTTTATGGACAAACCCTCAGCACGGTTTCCCCCTCGACCTTCACTGGTCTTAGGCTCCGCCTCCGTCGACTTTAAACCCCACCCACTGTTTATGGCATCGTTTTCTCTATTGTTAAACTAGGTTTTAGTGGAGAAGTGGCTAACATTAAGTAATCATTTTTTTGACAAATGATTGGTCAACTCTTAGCTACTGTGGCTAACCTTTAGATGTGATTCCACTGAAGTTGTTTTTGAAGTATTTAAACATTCCTGTCAATCTGCCTGTTCTTTTGAAATATCTTTAGAAAACTTCAGGTCATTAAATCATAAAAATATCTTTCTTATTCTAACTTGTCTGCACTCCATTAGCTAGCTGCAGGGCTAACCGCTAACCAGTTCGTACCAGCTCCACGCGTCCAAAGCCTCCGACTCCTAGCGTGTCGATGATGTTGAAGTCGTTCAGCTTCAGGCTGGAGAAGAAGGCGTTTTCTGCCTCGTACCTGAAAAACACACCAAGAACAGGTTGTCACTCCAACAACTCCAGAGAACGTGGGCCGATGGTCCAGCCTGACTCAGGAGGTCAGCGTCCTGGCACACCTGCAGCATTTAACCACATGGAAGAACGGAAACTTCTTGGAGGTCTGGATGGAGAAGGAGGTGATGGGGAAGGAGAAGGTGGTTGACGGAGGAGCAGGGAGGCTGGTCACCCTCTCTCTCTGAGGTTTTTTCACCGGGACGGGAATCAAGTCCCTCATGTCTGAACCTCTTAGCTGTGAGGACCAGAGTCTGGGTCAGGATGGAAATTCCAAGATTGAAGTTCTGTTGAAGACGGAACCCTTGGTCAGGGAGTGGGATCAGAAGTATCAACAGATCTACCTCTAGTCTCTGACCTTCACGAGAACGTTCGGCACAGAGTTCGTAAGAGAGCCGTCTTAAAAGAAGAGCTCCACGTCCAGTTCACATGGTGAGGGACCCGCTGACGATGGTGCGACGTTTGGGCCTGATGGTAACGCCAGTGCGGTGGAGTTGCCAGATCCTCCAGCTCTTTGGGCATTAAGCTCCAGAACAGAGAGACTCGGACCCTGTCAGAAACAGACCACGTCCAGGAAGAGCATCTTCATCAGGAAACCAGACCAAGAACCCACCAGAAGACCTGGAACTGTCTGAGAACCTGAGCCAGGACAAATCCAACTGAGCAGGAGAACAGCGTCTACGTCTGCTCTGGAACAGTCCAGGAGAGACAAATGTCAACCTGAGAGGACGACCTGCCTGGCAGGACACGCCTGATCCTGATCCTGATCCTGCTGCTGGTATTTTTAGCTCATGGAAACTTGCTCAGAGGTTCAGTCAGTAAACGCAGCTCCGTCACTCAACACGCTAAGAGTCTCAGAGAAGACGAAGCAGAAGTGGACGGACGAGGACAGACTGTCCAGACCTGAGAACCAGAGGTTTTGGACTTTCTGCTTCTGTCCACGTCCATCAAAGTGTGTCCCAACAGAAACAGTACAGTGACCCACATGTTCTCAGTTACAGGTCAGAGACTATCAGTCAGTTCCTTCAGGGTTTTCAATCAACGGTGCGTGGACCCCTCGTGGTATTTAGATATTTTTTTAACCTTCAAGATTTTTTAATTGTTTAAATGATTTTTAAATCAGAGTTAGCTTCACGTCTTAAAGACGCTAAGCTCTGAGGTGATAACAGTAACGACCTTTTCTCACCTTCAAAATAAAATCCTGACAACCTGTCAACACATTGACCGCCACCACGTGTGTGTGTGTGTGTGTTCCTGGAAACGGACGCTGTAGAATCAGAGCTCCACCCTGAAATCAGAGCCAGGATTGGCCCAAACGAACATAAACACTCTAAAGATAGTGTGTGATAGAGATCAACTGTCGCACAAACACACACAAACACACACAAATTATATTTATTATCATACTCACATAACTGTTAATGCTAACTGCTAACTGTATTGCAAATAAAACTGTGTGACGGTTAGCATACTGGTGTGTGTGTGTGTATAATTCTATACCATAAGGGGACATGTCTGTCTTCAGATTCACTCTGTCACATGACCACAGTCATCTGATACACGACACATCTTCAGTTACACCTGACCTGTGTGTGTGTGTGTGTGTTTAATCAGAGCACACATATTAAAAAAAGCATGAGGCTAATATTTTGTAACATTTTAAAAAAGCTTAAATTACAGTTAGCATCAAGTTTGGCCTACAATATGGGCCACGTGCTAAGAATTAGCCAAGAAATCTTTACCGTTGCCAAAGATATTGCTGAACACACTGAAGATCAAATAAAAGACACAGCTGAGGTTGACAATAAGTTAAGTTATTGGCAGGAGATAACTAAAGGTTAGCTTACAGCTAACTAAGGTAAGGAACTACAGTCAAAATGCATCAAATGAAGGAAACATTTAAACTGCTAACGGTTAGCAAAAATATACATGAAATATTACTACAAGTATCCTAAAAATATCTGCAGATAACAACATGGAGTTTTTTAAAGAGACAGAGCAGAGTTTTGATTCTGTAAGAACCCAGAACCAGTCCTCCTCTCAGGATCAACCTGAGGGTCACAGATTGAAATGAAGAGTGTGTGAAACAGCGTGTCCTTCAGTGTGACCTGACAGTTAACAGTAGCTGCTAATATTAGCTGCACTTACATAAGCAACCCGAGGATCCAGTAACACACTGTTCTACTTCACTGTCTGACTGAGTTGGTCCAACACAAAAGTCAGGTCAGGGAATCTGACCAATCCTGCACCAACGTCCACACATAAATTCTGGATGTTTAGCTAAGAGACGCTGGAGTGATTGGTCCACCGCTGCCTCATGTGGTCGGTGTGTGTCAATGAGGTGAAACTGAAAAAAATATTTTATAATGCGAAATAAAACACCTGAACCTCTTTGCCTTTTATGATTTGAATCCATTATTGAATCCATTAATTAGGTTCATTGGCACACACTGACCACAGGAGGCAGTAGTGACCAGCTGTCTCCTGTAAGCCTATATGACACATTTGCTTCAGTGGGATTTGGTGTAAAAGTTTGGCACAAACGTCAGTGGTTTCACCTCACATCCAGTCTCTGTCTATCAGGTTGATTCTACCACCAGGGGGTGCTGTCAGAACAGCCAGTACTCCATACAAACATACATACAGATTTCTTTAACATCTGTATTTTCTCATTTGTTCGTGTTTGTGCGTTGAACCTACTTAGCTTTGGCTTCAGTGTCTTCATATCGATTGGAGGCCACGTCGTCTAATCCACCAATCAGATGCTTGAACGAGCTGAGAAGCAAAAACAACATGACCAATCATCTCGTAGCATCAATGGAAACTAGAGTTGTGCATTTTAAAAACAACGACAGCAAAACAACACTGAGTCAGAGGGTTGTGTGTAATTAGTGGTCATTTGCAGCAGGGGGGAGCAGAGAGCTGAGATTGAAAAGGGACAAATGAGTGAGGGTAAAGACCACGAGGATTTCTGTTTCAGAGATTCAGGATTCTAAAGTTAATTCACAACTGTCGCCTCTTTACAAATGAGATCATATTTGGTTTGTTTAGGAATATTATTTCTGTTTTCAAAACAAGATCTTTTTAACTTTTTAACCACCGGGTCTGAAAATAAAACCAGAACTGAAGTCTGAGAACGACAAGAAAAAAACAGAAAAAAGTTCTTCTTACTCTCTGTCGATGACCAGGCAGGTGACCGTGTCTGCAGCAATGACGTTGGCTGTTCTGATGTCCTCCCTGTGTGACACACACACACACACACACACATAGATGAGTTTCTACACAGACAGGGATTCTATTGTTTTTAGATGAGCATCTGAGATGATGTGTTCAGGGACTATGTGAAAAAACATTAATGCAGTAAACATGTTGCCAGTGAAGACATGGTTGAAAATGGACACTAAGAGCCTGAACACACACACACACACACACACACACCCAGTGTTCAGGCTTTTAGTGTCCATCATCCTCATGTTTACTGAAATGCATTAAACCTGTTGTTCTCTTTATTTCCCTGAGGTCCCTGAATGCAGCATTTCAGACCCATCAGTTGTGGCACACGAAGAACCCTTGAAGTGCTCTTCACTGCACTCCTCATGGAGACTTGTTACATGTGAATGTTCCCTTCTGTCATTTAGTGACACCGGTGGTGCACGTGTGAATTACATCTTAACGGCGCTCATGTTCAACTGTAACGTTTCCCTCAGACTCACGACTTTATTGATCCAGTAAATGTATACACACCCAGCGATGGTCGCCTTGATGTGTGGACACAAATATTGACAGGTTCTCCTCAGAGCAGCTGTCCATCAAACCTTTGATTGACAGCTGCTCCTCGTTACTAACCCCAGTAGGAGAACACTTCTGTTCTCCGCTGTGTGTCATGTGACCTCACCCCTGCAGCGCCCTCTCTCCAAACCAGTCTCCTCTGGCGAGCTCGCGCAGGTGTACTGGTTCCTGATTGGCTGAGCTCTCCTGGGTCACGTTCACCTAAAGGAAGTTTTATGAGCGTGAATCGACTTGGTGACCAGGTGAGGTCAGAAGGTCGAGGTGATGATGATTACCTTTCCTTTACTTATGATGAAGAAGGTGTCCCCCGTGGCCCCCTGTCTAATGATGTACTCACCCTCGTCGTAGTGTGTCTGCGTGGGATTGGACAAAATTATGAAGGACAGAAAGGCACAGGATAGGATCCATAATAAAGTGGGCGTGGCCTACAGCACGTCTCACCTCCTCCATTACGTCAGCGAGTTTACTGAGGGTCTCCTCCGAGAGAGGCTGGAAGGAGGGAACACTGAGAGAGAGAGAGATGATCCACATGATGATAAAGTTTTAATAATAATAATAATAATTATAATAATGACTGATGAGTGATGGTGTTGAAGGTGATATGTATGACCAATAGGTGGCAGCAGCAGGAACTCACCTCCTGAGGAAGTCCATGTACTCGGCGTGTTTAATGAGACCCGTTCTCATCATGATGATCTGGAAACACTGCCGGTCGATGGCCCACAGCTTCACAGGGGTGAGAGCTTGGAACAGAAGGAAGAAACTTCACCGTTTCATCAAGAACAGCAGGTCAGAACAACGTGAAGAAAAGAAGTTTTAAAAGTCCTGTTCCAACCTAGGAATGGTGTGTGTGTGTGTGTGTGTGTGTGTGTGTGAGTTACAGGCGGAATATTTTTAATCTATATATAAATGTACAACAGCAGCAGTTCACCCACTGTCAGACATCCCATAAAGCCAAGAGCTGATGCTGAGACTGAGCCAGTTACCATAGTTACAGGCCCTATATATATATATATATATGTATATATATATACATATATATATATATATATATACACACATGTGTATGTGTGTATATATATATATATGTGTGTGTGTGTTTGTTGAAATGTATTGGAATAAACAAGTGTATTTTGCTGAATCCTGTCGTGTGAATTTTTTTTTTTTTGCAAATTATTTCTTAATTAATTCATGGTTTTTTTTTATTAAACCTTCAGCTAACTGTAGTTACGTGGCCTCTGACCAACTGTTTAGCTGTAGCTAACTTACAGCTACTTTTTTGTCATTTTCTGTAATCTTTTTTAGTCACTTCTTCACAAACCTTGGGGTTCCTGCTCGATGTTTGTCTTTGTCTGTAATTCTGTTAAACTGAAACAGTTGAAACATGTGACCCGCTGAGTAAACACGGGGTGATTGACAGCTCATATCTTAGGTGTGTGAACAAACAGCTGCTCCTGTTTGGAGGTTATTATTCTTTACTTTTCCACACACACTGCTGCTTTATGGCTGCTCACACTGTCCTACTGTTGCTATGGAGATAGCAGTGTGTCCGTCACCAGGGGAACAACAGGAGGAACCTCCACAGCAGCAGCAGATGATGATGATGATGATGATGATGATGATGATGATAATGGACTGGAGTATTTAGGGGAATCGGTGACATCACAGATAAGGCTAATATTGGTCAGCCAAATTAGCAGGTTAGCAAAAAGAAGCCTGGAGTTAGCTAAAACTATGAAAAAACAAGTATCATCCAATGTATCCAATGTAGCCGACAAAAGTTAGAACAAAATATTCAAACGGTTAAGCAAGAGCATCAGTTCATATTGACAACAATTTAAAAAAAGTTGTTACTTCTACTTTCTTGAACTTTATTTCATTTGACGTCTGTCTGTGCTAAAGCTACGGCAGCTACGGCAACAGATCAACGTCCCTCTGTTTCCATCAATAATTCACGTCTGATTTTTTAAATAATTCAATTTAATTTTAATCCAGTCTTTAACAACTTCCTAAAGTTGAAAAAAATAATCTTTATGATTCCAGACGGATCCTCTAGAGGGCCTGTCCTTTGGTTTTAGAAACTTTTTAAGTAGAGAGACAGGAGTTTTGTGTTTGTGAGTTTTGGCAGATTTTAATTATTCAGACGCCACGGTGACACCACGGTCGTAAAACCCACAGCTGGAGCCTCGTTAATGTGGAGATAACAAAAAAAAATCTACAGCAAACGGAAACCAATCCCCTCGAACCCAGGAACTGTTGCCAAGAGACCACGATGCCAAACCAGCCCCATTGGCTGCAATCGGATGGTGTTGCCTAGCAACCGCTGCCTTAACAAGCACTCTACCGGGAAGCTCTGACAAAAGTTGGATGTCCACACGCACGCACACACACAGACACGTGTGCGGTGCTTCGAGTCGTTTTTTTTCTGCCCCTTCCTCCCACTCTCTGCTCCTGAACTCACATCAAACACTTTGAAAGTGAAGAAAGAACTTCCTGCTGCTTCTTCACACATACACCACCGAGGTTGTTTTTGTTTTTATTTAAAGAAGCTGAGACTCATCAGCTGAAAGGAATACGATGGCGAGATGCTAATGACACCGAGCCACTGATCCGGTTAGAACCAGCTCAGAGTAGAAAGAGTTAAAAGTTAGCCTCAGAGCTAAGTTAGCCTCAGAGCTAAAAGTTAGCCTCAGAGCTAAGTTAGCCTCAGAGCTAAAAGTTAGCCTCAGAGCTAAGTTAGCCTCAGAGCTAAAAGTTAGCATCAGAGCTAAAACTTAGTCTCAGAGCGCAAAGTTAGTTTGAGGAATTAGCTTAAAGTTGGGCAAAACACAGTAGATGACTACAGGACGAGAACAAAAGGCAAACACTGATTTTTTTTAACGTGTGTGTGTGTGCGTGTGTGTGTGACCCACTCCTGACTGTAGCCGTCCTGGTGCAGTTGTAAAGAATGGCCAGTTCTCCAAACACCTTCCCAGGTCCCATGGTGCACAGCTTCATTCCCTCCTTGGTCACCTCCACTTTACCTTCTGGATGGATGAGAGACCATCAACCACAGACAGAGAGAGAGATAATGGAAGTTAAGATCCAAACAGGAAGTGACGTCACAACACATCAATCCCAACCATATCTATGACTTGTGAGTCACCTTCACGTCACATATTTATCATTGCTGGCTTTTTGTCTTCTTCCTCTTTCTTCCCTCCTTCACTTCCTGTCTCCTAACCTTTTCGTTTTTTTTTTTTCGTTTTTTCTCCTTAATCCCTGTACTCTTCTGTCTTTAATTTCATTCTTCCTTCACTTCCATCTTCCTCATTTGTTACTTTTTTCTTTCCTTTCCTCTTTTTCTTCTCTCCTCTTCTCCTTCAATCTTCATCCATTCCGTCCGTTCACCGCTGATATTTTTCCATCTTTTTTCCCTGTTTCTTTTTTCCTCGTCTTCAAACTGAATCTAAACTGTAAAAAAGAAGAAACATTTTATGATCTAAATATGTTCATCCAGCAGGTTTCCATGACAACTGTCCACCAGTGTGTGTGTGTGTGTGTGTTTTATACTAATGAAATGGAGTTTACACAACATTTTAAAATGTTACAGTAATGAATGTGAGCCAATCAATGATGTCCACTGTACACACACAAGACCTGTCTGTGTGTGTCTGAGTGTGTGTGTGTGTTTATTTTACTTAATGAGACAAAACTGCTGCATCTGTTTCTTCCTCCAAATATGGAGTTAATGACCAAATTCATACACACACACACACACACACACACACAGTCAGCCTTCCTCGAAGTCTGTTTTTAGGAATCACTTCCTCTTCCTGTCATAGAAGTCATTATATTCAACTGCCATCTGTGAAACCCCCTGTACGCTTGTGCACACACACACACACACACACACACACACACACACTCTCTCTGGCTGTTGATCAAATCATCCGCCCGTACATGAGCTCCTCCCGTCCTTCACTCTGTCAGAATAAATAATGTTTGGTTCAGAGGTCGTCTCTGGCACAGGTCACATGACCAGCCTGTGATGACATCATGACATCGTAATCATCGTTATCATCATCCTTGTTCGCCTTTAAGCCAATTATGGCTGTTTGTAAACTTTGTCTCCAATAACAACAACTCTGACATCACTTCCTGTGTGAGGTCCAGTTCTAACCAATCCTGACTCAGTTAGACTCAGAGTCCTTCATGGACTCTACCATTTCTTGGGAAGACGGAAGACGCAGTGATCCACGCACGATCCCACAGTGTCAGCCTGAATTTCACCTCGGACCAAACCTCACTGACTTTCAAACTGCCAAAGACGGCCGCGTCTCATGCTGATCTGGGACGGTCCGGACACGCTCATGAATTTGGCCTGGACCAGATCCACAGGCAGTGTTTGATTAGGTATAAATGCCATCAGCAGCTTCACACCGCTCACCGCCGCCCACCGCCGCCCACCGCCGCAGAGGAGCGGCCATCTGGACGACTGTGGTGGAGTGGACTGGAGCGGTGTCCAGAGACACTGAAACAGGACAGGAATCAGGAGATGCTGAAGAAAGAAGACCTCATGACCTCTGAGTCACTACTGAAGAAAGGTCACATGACCTCTGAGTAACTGTGTGACTCAGAGGTCCGAGAGGCAGGACGGGCCGGGGCCACGCAAAACAACAACAAAATAAAAACAACAAACATCAGAGACAGGAAGTGTAGAGAGAGGAAACAGGAAACACAGAGACCAGGAACTAGAAGAAAAATCAAGATGGAGGAAAGAAATGTCGAGAGTGAGACACAAGAGGGAGAGCGACAGAAATGTAGAGCCCTGAGCAGAGAGAGAGAGAGAGAGAGAGAGAGAGAGAGATGGGAGACATGTGGATGAGACAGGAGACACGGAAGACAAAAAAGAACAAGAACCCAGAACTACAGAAGGAACCACAGAGGAAAGAAGGTCTGACCAAGTCAGAAAAAACTGTCCGTGTTCAGACAGAAGACAGAGGAGGGCAACAGGACAGGAGAGAGAGAGAGAGAGAGAGAGAGAGAGTGTGTGTGTTTTCTCCCAGTTCTCTTGTTTCTCACCTTCCATGACGAAGACAAGTGAGCCGACGTCGCCCTCTTTGATGATGCAGGCGTCTTTCCCATAATCCACTGGGTACATGCAGTCAACGATCTCCTGGATCTGAGACAGCTCCAGGTTCTTCATGAAGTCATTGTCCAAGATGGCGTCCTTGATCAGCTCCTTGGACCTGAGGAGACGGGGACAATTGTAGTGTGTGGTCAAGTGGTGGCTTACTGGTGCTGCACCCAGCCTACGACCTGGGCTTCAGTTTTAGAACCAAGTAAGAACAATCTCCAGTGAAAACAGCGCATGCTAGTGGTAGTTTAGTGCAACTACAACAGTCTACATTTTCAGTGACACCTTGGTGGATTTTCCCAGACATTTGTCCAGATTAATGATCCCATCATGTACATTGTACATACATCGTTACCTTTATATTCCTTGATCTTGTAAATATCTCCTTTACTTTATTCTATTCCTGCCATTTTGCAGCGTGGGTCCGAGAGGACTGACATTTCATGGTGCCACGTGTCCTGTAGGTATGGCACATTTGACAATAATGTTGACTTTGACTTTTATTATTTGACGTAGTCAAAAGAAACCAGGTGAGAACCCCTGTCCTCTGGCTGCAGCAGCAGCAGGTGTCAGTAAATCACCAACGGATCTAAAGAGTGTCGGTGTCTCACACCATGGATGTCCACTTCCTGTTGTTGAGATGAGTCACTGTCAGCACAGTGGTAAATGTCAGAGAGACGTCCTCACAGCAGATCTGTCTCAGCACAGACAGACAGACTGACTGACTGACTGACCGACTGACCGACCGACTGACTGACTGACTGACTGACCGACTGACTGACTGACTGACGGACTTAAGGACTGATCGACCGACTGACTGACCGACTGACGGACTTACGGACTGATCGACTGACTGACTGACTGACTGAAGGACTGACTGACTGAAGGACTGACTGACTGACTGACTGACCGACTGACCGACTGACTGACTGACCGACTGACCGACTGACTGACTGACTGACCGACTGACCGACCGACTGACTGACTGACTGACAGACTGACTGACTGACAGACTGACTGACTGACAGACTGACTGACTGACTGACCGACTGACTGACCGACTACAGACCAGAGTCACTGACAAACTACAGGTGTGGAGAAGAAGTTCACTTTCTCACCTAGACCAAAGCCCATGGAAAAATAAACACTGATTTCACACAGGAACCAACCACTGATGCCTCCTGTGGTCAGTTTGTGTCACTGCGGTAGCTCTGAACAGAGCGTGTGTTAACACGGCAGACTGAGAGAGTGGGCAGTGGGTTTAATGTCTGCAATTTTATTTATCTTTTCTGGCTCTGCTGTTGTTTTTCTCTCAGCGTTACCTTGTACACACATACACACACCCGCGCGCGCACACACACATTAAGCACATTAAAACAGCACATTCCACTAAAAATAAAATCTTCTCTCTGGGATGAAAGACTTCTATTATCCAGCCTCTAACACGGTTATTGTTTCCCAGGATGCTTTGCAGCAAAAGTAGATTTAATTTGCAGTGATATTTCACACAAAGACACACACACACACACACATTTAGACACACAATGTTATTGTTATGATGACATTTTGATATTTAGCGCACCATGCTTGGATTTCAAAATAAAAGCCCCAAACAGATCTGTGACAGCTCAGTTTCACCCTGTCAATCAAACTCAAACACACACGCACACACACACACAGGCAGAAAATTGACAGGGTTTCATTTACCATCCCACTACCTCTCACTGTCAGCTGTGTGTGTGTGTGTGTGTGTGTGTGTGTGTGTGTGGGAGGACCACAGGGAATACAGAGCTGAAAGAATATTCCAATATTTTCCACTGACTGATTTTTACTGATTTTAAAGCAGAGCTCCGTCACTTTTTTCCAGATTCTATTAAGAAATAATAGATTAAACCTCCCCCTGCCCCCCCACCACCACCACCACCTCACACAGTCTGACAACATGGTCAGTGTGTGGTCAGTCCAGGGTAGTTTACATCACGGCTGACAAAGGCTGCAGTGAATTATTCTCTGAAATCTAAAACTTCATTTTCCTGTCGTTTCAGTCTGTAAACACATCATGACATAAGACTGACTTCATATTCAAACTTTAGTCTTGAAATGTTGAACTGGTGCTCATCTCAGTAACACTAGCTGACCACATGAGGCAGTATATAGTTTGAAATAAAAACGTGAAATATTTCTATCTTCTGGACTCACTCTGGACTCTTGGGGTAGAAAGGCAGGGTCACATGACTCAGGGCGCTGATGTCACAGGCTGTGGGCTCAGCAGAGATGGCCTGCCTCTTGCTTCGATGCTGGTCTGGCTGCAGGACCAGGCTGTGCTGCTGGGCCTGGACCTGTTGGGCCGTAGCAGGTCTGATCACCGACCGGTACTTGTCCAGTTCGTTCTGGAGTCTTTGGATCAACTCGTCCTTCTGGTCCAGCTCCAGCTCCAACTCGTCGATAAGGGCATCTCGCTGCCGCAGCTCCTCGATCTTCTGCTGGAGGGCGTACTGCAGGTCCCGCAGAGTACCCATCAGTCCTGAGGACCGCACTGAAGTGTTCCCAGGGTCTCTGGACGGTTCCACGTGGAATATCAGTAGTCCAGTTCTTCCACAGTGCCCAGGTTTTCTTCCTGATGTTTGTTGAGATCACTCTCCAGATCAAATGTCATCTGATATCCCAAGATTGCTAGGGTCCAATCAGAGACAGCCAATCAGATCGTGTTGATCCTGGTGTTAGCGTTCTGCTGACACACAGGTAAACAAACAGTCAGATCCTGTTTGTCTAATATTTTATCACAACACAAATGACATTCCCAGTACACAGTGCTAACAAATGTAGCCTGTTAGTGCTAACAACCAAGTGAAGCATAGGCCAATTAAACTGTATTAAAGTAATCTTTTAGCACAGATGCTAGCAACCAAAGTAACGTTTATACAAACACTCCCACCAAGGTTCACATCAACGCTAATTATTTAGTAAATACTCAACCATGAAATTGTCTTCAAACTGCAGTTGTAGTAATGTGCTAACACAAACTACACTGACTCTAAATGGTTATACTAATGCTAGCACTGGAGTTAGCTAACCAAATTAACTTTATGCTAATACTGACACACAAACACCAGTTTACTGACACACAACCACCAATTCCACAATTATTGCTCACATCACCGCCAATCAGGATTTGTTATTATCTATCACAAAGGCCAATCACGTCACAGTAAAGGCTGACATGCATTACTGTAGTACAGCATCTTTATGCTGAATATCTAGCATAGAAATTCCACAATTATTGCTCACATCACCGGATTAAAAACTCTCCAGGGTCAACTGATCCTTGAAGAGTTCCTTCAAGTCCTCTCAGGTTCTTCTCTGGTCCTGGTTTTTGTCGTTTTTTGAAATAAAGAAGAAGAAAAAGATTTTCTTTCACAACCACGTCACAAGGAAAATAAAATTTTCTTTTACCTGAAAAACCATCCTCAGGCTCAGAGTTCTCTGTGTGGACAGGAGCTGCTCACTCCTGAGGAGGAGGAGGAGGAAGAGGAGGAGGAGGAGGAAAAGAGAGGAAGGTTTTCACAAATTCACAGAAACAAAAAAAAGTGCCGGGATTCCACAGCTGGAGAAACAGAGGAGACACGTGGAGAGAAGAAGAAACTGTACCGAGACGAGAAAACCCGCCAAATGATCAGGATGAAGCTGCAGCTGAGTTGGTGCTCAGAGGAGGAGGAGGAGGAGGAGGAGGAGGAGGTGAAGGAGGAGGAGAAGGAGGAGTCGGATCATCCGCAGATCTGCTGCGGTTTAATCACCTTCATTAGTTTAATCTGTTTAAGGACGAGCAGCAGGTTTTAGAAGATGGACCTCCTCCGTCCTCCCTCCTCCTCCTCCTCCTCCTCAGTAGCAGAATCACAGCCTCATGCTGATTGGTCACTCCTTAAAGGGTTAGCTGAATTTGTTTGAATGAAGATGTGAGAGAGGAGGAGGACAGTTCTCACAGACCTCGTCATGAGACAAGAGGAGAACAGAGTGGGATCCACAACAGACCAACGACAGACCAACAACAGTCCAACGACAGTCCAACGACAGTCCAATGACAGTCCAACAACAGTCTAACAACAGACCAACAACAGACCTACAACAGTTTAACAACAGACCAACAACAGACCTACAACAGTTTAACAACAGACCAACAACAGACCTACAACAGTCTAACAACAGACCAACAACAGACCTACAACAGTTTAACAACAGACCAACAACAGACCTACAACAGTTTAACAACAGACCAACAACAGACCTACAACAGTCTAACAACAGACCAACAACAGTCCAACGACAGTCCAACGACAGTCCAATGACAGTCCAACAACAGTCTAACAACAGACCAACAACAGTCCAACGACAGTCCAACGACAGTCCAATGACAGTCCAACAACAGTCTAACAACAGACCAACAACAGACCTACAACAGTCTAACAACAGACCAACAACAGTCCAACAACTGTCCAACAACAGTCCAACAACAGTCCAATAACAGACCAACAACAGACCTACAACAGTCTAACAACAGACCAACAACAGACCTACAACAGTCTAACAACAGACCAACAACAGTCCAACGACAGTCCAACGACAGTCCAACAACAGTCCAACGACAGTCCAACAACAGACCAACGACAGACCAACAACAGTCCAACGACAGTCCAACAACAGACCAACAACAGTCCAACGACAGTCCAACGACAGTCCAATGACAGTCCAACAACAGTCTAACAACAGACCAACAACAGTCTAACAACAGACCAACAACAGTCCAACAACTGTCCAACAACAGTCCAATAACAGTCCAACAACAGACCAACAACAGTCTAACAACAGTCCAACAACAGTCCAACAAAAGACCAACAACAGTCCAACAACAGACCAACGACAGACCAACAACAGTCCAACGACAGTCCAACAACAGACCAACAACAGACCAACAACAGTCTAACAACAGACCAACAACAGACCTACAACAGTCCAATGACAATGTTTTTGTCTGTTTTAGTGTAAACACTGAACTGTCCCTTTAACAGACCGACTGATGACCGTTGTCTCTTCAGTCTTTGATTGGATTCTTCACTAAAACGCAGGCTCCATCAAGAAGGGCTTGTTTTTCTATGTTGCTATGGCGCCCTCTGTGCACTCAACTGTGTCATTACAGGTAACTGCAGCAGCAGATTCACACCGTGTGAAACTACAACTCTGGCCTGAAGGAAATGTCTCCTGGTTCGGGTTCACAGTGGCCGAGGATCCGCTCTTCAGTCGACGGTCCTAGTGTGAGTGCACCCGTAAAATACAGACGGATTCACTAGTACGTCACTCAGTCGCCCTCTAGAGGCTTTTAGTCCTCACTGCGCCTGAGAGGAGTTAGGGTTTTAGATTTAACTTGGAGTTAGGATCAGAATTATTCTTAGGTTAGGATTAAGATTAGGTTTAATCATAGATTTGTACAAGTTAATCCTCAGGTATGAGTGTGTGTGGAGGGGAGGAGAGAAAAGAAACGAAAATCCAGATAATGATGTTCAAAGACCTCCTGACACAGACAGTGTGTGTGTGTGTGTGTGTCTGTGTGTGTGTGTGTGTTTGTGTGGGGAGATAGCAGCAGGTTAACCATTAACCTGAGCAGCTCATAAAGCTAACACCAGGACAGTGAACCTTTGGAGTTTGATATGATGTGATCACACACACACACGCACACAGAAACACACACACAGGTCCGTGATGACACGTGAACATACACACACACATGGTTCAGAATGACACAGCTCTGATCAGAGGGAGGTGATCTCTGAAATTGCTCAGGTCAGTTTGACAGTTTTCTTTCTTTTTTCAATGTTTTAAGATTTTATTTACTGTATATCAGAGGGAGAGAGAGGGAGAGAGAGAGAGGGAGAGGGAGAGAGAGGGAGCGAGAGAGCTGACTGTGTCTTTGTCAACTTTTCACCTTTCCTTCTTCTTTGCTCTGTGACCATCAGAGACACTGTAGTGAAAAAACATGTTGAAAGAATTAATGGAAGATGGAAAAGAGAGAGAGAGAGAGAGAGAGAGAGAGAGAGAGAGAGGGAGAGAGAGCCTTATTCTGTCTTCATACTCTGTCATAAATATTAGTTCATTAAACTGCTGCTACTTTATAGTGCATTTGTTATGTTGTGGACCAAAAAAATAACTGACTCAAAAGCGCCCCCTGTCCTCAAAACTGTGTGTGTGCATGGTGGATCTCCACAAAAGATGGCTCCCTTTTAGGAAAGTAAAAAAAAAAAAAAAAAAAAAAAACTTAATGAAGAAGGAGCAAGTTGAGTCGGTGATTCATCACATGGCAGACTCGACTAGTCAAACACAGTGAAGTCAGGGAGAGAATCAGTGACTTGATCTGACGCTGCCTCATCACTAAGTTCAAATGTGTTATTTTGTGACTTCACTGTTTGAAACCCTCTGTTCACAAACTGACCACAGGAGGCATCAGTGTGTTTCTGTGAACTAAAATCATTGGTTTTCTCCGTGGACTTTGGTGTAGCACAGTGAGCTCCTCATGTTAGTTTTTGTTGAGCGTTGAGATTAGCATGCTAGCTGACATCATCTGAAACAGCCTTGCAGAGAAGCGAAGATAAGTGTGTGTTTGTGTGTGTTTGTGTATGGACACATCTTTATCAGCAGTATTGATTGGTTGATCTCTGTCGCTGCCTGTTTTCTACCAACAGTGTCAGTGAGGTCATTGCGGCTAATGTGTTAGCTACAATGTAGAAATCATTATTTCCTAGGCAAAGTCAAGTCAGATTTTTTTTTTCAATTAAACACTTTGACATCACATTAAATTGGAGTGAAGTGACCTGAAGACTTTTTACATCCAATATAAACCAATGCCTAGATGTTCAGGCTAGGAAGGTTTATCTGATGTTCACCAGAGTGTAGCCTTACAGGCTATGATAGCTTGGTTGGCTTACGTTGATATGTTAGGAGTAAGGGTCACCTGAAGTTAGCTACAGCTAGCAGGTAAAATAGAGTTAAGAAGTACAGTTTTAACTGAATGTAGCCAGAAGTTAGCTTCAAAGGCTACGTTAGCTGGAGCACAGCTGGGTTTTGATGGAGTCGACTCACTGTACGGCTGAAAGAATACTTTGGTAAGAAAACAAAACGGTGACTTTGGCTCTCACGAAGAATCTTTAGTAAGAATTATCATAAAACGTTTCTATTTACACGTCCAGAACTGAACCCTGAATGTCTCAGCATGTCCACAGCCTCAGTCAATGATTAGAGGACAGACCTTGACCTCACACTGACGGATCTGATGTCCGCAGCAAAAACAAGCTGCAGCACAAAACACACAAAAACTGCACACACACACTCTTTGAAGATTGATACATGATTCAGGAGAGTAATGATGAAAAAATGAATTCAATTACCTGAACATTCCCCACATTATCACTTCATGTTACAAACCAACGAGTGTTTCAGAATAAAAGACATTTCTTTCAGCAGTGTTGGAACACACTCACTGTTCAACAGCAGCTTTGGAACCTATAATCCAAATTTGAAGGGAAACCACACACACCAACACCTTTATATATATATGTATATACTGTTTTTCAGTGAGCACCCCTAATTTCCCTGATTCACATTCACTGTCAATCAAATCCAATGGAAACCAATCAGAAAGCAGGAGGGGACGGAGGAGCAGCAGCACAGAAGGAGGCGGCTCTGTGTATTCTAACACAACGTACAGGATACCAACTACGACAGGTACGGACCACATGATGCAGGGGTTTTCAAGGACCTCCAAACTGATAACGTGATGGAGCGGAGACCCCCAACTGTTGATAATGTATACGTATAAACCCACCCACTCATTAGTATACATGCTTTATATTAAGAACTCAGTTTACCTTATTATTTTGTGATACAGGCGCCCCCTATTGTTTCTTTTATTTAGTTTAGCTAGTTCTAATCAGTTATCTTTCTATTTAGTTTAGCTAGTTCTAATCAGTTGTGTTTGTTTTGGTTTCTGTTTTGGGTGGGCTCAGGAGAACGGTCAGCGGCGGTACGGTGGACCTCCACCCAGCTGGGACGGTCCACCACCAGAACGTGGAAGTGAGATCTTTGTGGGAAAACTACCAAGAGATCTGTTTGAAGATGAACTGGTTCCACTGTGTGAGAAGGTGAGAGGAACCAGGTCCAGAACCCTAGGTCTGAATGTTCCTTTGGTGGTTCTACCACCAGGGTCATCGATCTTTTATGTCTGGCTACATCTCTGACTCACATTTCACATTTTCTGCTGTGACTCTCAGTCCAGGGGTCTCAGAGAGTGACTTTTACAAAACCAAAATGGCCGACAGCTGCTCCTGCTGTGTCACATCTTGGTTGTTGGTTGTTTTCTGTCATATTTCTAACTAGCTGTTGAAGAGTTTTTGTCTTGAATTTCAGCTGAGGACACTTCAGTGGCATCAGGATGTTGTGATTTCTGTCTTTCTGTCTTCAGTTTGGAAAGATCTACGAGGTCAGGATGATGATGGACTTCAACGGAAACAACCGAGGCTACGCCTTCGTCACCTTCAGCACCAAACAAGAGGCCAGAGCCGCCATTAAACAACTCAACAACCATGAAATCAGGTAAGGATTTGGTCCAGACTCCGTGGGGTCCAACGTCCACACCCTTATTGTCTTTACACCTCGCCCTCTAGGAACGGACGCCTTCTTGGCGTATGTGCCAGCGTCGACAACTGCCGTTTGTTTGTGGGAGGGATTCCTAAAGCCAAGAAGAGAGAAGAGATTCTGGCTGAAATGAGGAAAGTCACCGAGGGGGTCGTGGAGGTCATCGTCTACCCCAGCGCTGCCGACAAATCCAAGAACAGAGGCTTTGCTTTCGTGGAATACGAGAGTCACCGAGCGGCGGCCATGGCTCGACGCAAACTGCTGCCAGGTACGAAGAGAGAGCTCAGCCCTCTGGATAACAACGTGACGCTACTAACATTCCTCACTCTCTGATGTAGAGACCATCACGTGGTATCATGAGCCAATCACAAACTAGGACACGTGACACAGTGAACGTGATAAAAGATCCTAAAACCTCCAGCAGGTTTGAAATGTTTCAGTGTTTAGGTTTTAGGGAGGTTCTGTCTGGGTCAGATGTGAAGAAGCTCCAGAACCTCCAGGCGACGAGGGCCGGACTTATTTAAGAACCAGAACTGCTTTTTATTGACCCGAAACAAACCCTGTGAGTTTGAAAAAAAAAACCCGGTCCTACCAGTTCTTTGTGGTCCAGGTAGAATCCAGCTGTGGGGCCACGCCATTGCTGTGGACTGGGCGGAGCCAGAGGTGGAGGTGGACGAGGACACCATGTCAACTGTGAAGATACTGTACGTCAGAAACCTGATGCTGCAGACCACAGAGGAGACCATCGAGAAAGAGTTCAACAGCCTGAAGCCAGGTCCACGCCCCGATGTTTAACCTCCTGGAAAAATAGTCCTCAGGTTGAAGACTACAGCCTGTAAAAATAAAAAAAAAATTAAACCAGGTGAATGGTTTTGCATTACAGGTGCAGTGGAGCGAGTGAAGAAGATCAGGGACTACGCCTTCGTCCACTTCTCACAGAGAGACGACGCCATCAACGCCATAAAGGCCCTTAACGGAAAGGTAGGCTGTCCACCAGGGCCTACCATTGTCCATAACTGGGGACCAACATGCAGCTGGACCAACCACATTAGGTCACATTAGCCCGCCCCAGTGACCTCACCCACATTCTTCTTCTCTGGGCCTCAGCTGGTAGATGGTTCTCCCATCGAGGTCACTCTGGCCAAACCTGTGGACAAGGACAGTTATGTCCGGTACACCAGAGGGACAGGAGGACGAGGAGGAGCTCTACTGCAGAGTGACTACTCCACCTACCCCGTTGGACAGGTACTACAGAAAGACCACGATAGGCACCGGTTGGCCCATCGGGGTCTGTGGCCCCGTATCTTGAACCATTTCTGAATGTCTGGTCTGTACCTGCAGGTCTACGACCCGTCAGCAGCCTACCTCGGAGCACCGGTGTTTTACGCCCCTCAGGCCTACGCTGCTATTCCGGGTCAGTTCCGCTTCCCTACAGCCAAGGCTCACATCGGGGGGCGAGGTCTGATCAGGACGCCGTCTGTTCGAGGTGAGAATCTGAACCAATCAGTAACTGGTGAATCAACGAGTGTACTGAGAATCAGCTGAGATCCCTGTAATCAGAGTTGACGTGAGGACCGTGAACGCCACACCTGTGTGATTCTTCTTCCCTGCTTGATTTCTGGTGATTTGATTGATTTCACTGCCTTTTCGGTCTCCTGTAGAAATTTACATGACTGTACCTGTAGGGGCTGCGGGGGAGAGGGGGCTGGGTGGGCGGGGATACCTGGCCTACACCACCGGGGGTGGAGTCGTCGGTCGCGGCACAGTGGGAAATGGTGCTGGCGGTCCTTCCTACAGTCTGAAGGCAGACAAGCAGACGGAGGAGAAGCTGTACGACCTGCTGCCCGGCATGGAGCTGACCCCCCTGAGCCTGAAAGCAGCTGCCATCAAACCTGCACCACAGGTAACAGGAAGTGATGTCATCATCAGTATGGACCCTGTAGTACGGCGTCGTTACTTATTTGTGGCAGGGTGGCGAGGACATATGGCTAACTTTTACTGCTAACTTCTCCGTTCTTGTCTCAGGTTCTGGAGGAACTGTGTCAAAAGAACAACTGGGGACAACCGGTCTACCAGCTCCACTCTGCCATTGGTCCAGACCAGAGACAACTCTTCCTCTACAAGATCACAGTCCCAGCACTGGCTACACAGTACCCCAACATGTACTTGTACTGCTCATGTTACTCCTGCTAACAATGCTAAGACTCATGCTAATGCTGCCACTACTAAAAATATGTGCCTTTAACAACACTAGGAGTACTGCATATACTACGACCACTAATACTCCCAATACTACCATTGCTTCCAATGGCAATGCAGGTCCAAGTATGTACTAAGCCTTTTAGTTCCACCGAAGCTAATGCTAATGCTTCTGTTATACTGTGATACTGTTGGTACTACTATGGATGCTCGTTGATACTGTTGGTACTACTATGGATGCTAACACTAACGCCACAAAGAATACTAACACAGTGACCTAACTACTAGACACAGATGCAACTGCTACTGATAATGACTTTAGTACTTTAAATACAGTACCAACTACTATAGCTTGTACCTGTTCTTCTTCGCAGTGCTAGCTCAAACTGCCTCTCTGTCCACAGACATCCCTTCACCCCTACTAAACTGTGCACAGCAGTAGAAGAAGCTAAAAACCACGCCGCCGAGTTCACCCTGCAGACACTGGGCCTGCAGACAGAAGGCGCTGCAGACGCCAGCTGTGCTACTGCTGCCACTGTGGCTTCAGTAGCCTTCCCAGGTATGTGAAGGTCCGTACCTAATGCTTACTAACTCTCCCTCACCCACTCAGGTCCACACTTGAAGCTTAGCATTAAAAAAACCTAATTAGCATAGCATAAGTAACAAACTAACACCAACCTTATTTTTTATTGTGTGTAGCTTGTGTCTCAGGAACTGGGAAGCGTCGCCACATTTCAGTAGCTAGTAGGGGTGTGTGGCGATACGACTGTATCACGATACAGAGGCAACGATACGATATAGCTCCGCTCTGGAATCTTTGAATATATTGCGATACACTGTGATACTATAGGCACGACAATATATTGACTTTTTTTAACAATATAATTGTAGTAAAACTGTCATCATAGTAAACACACAGTGCTGTACAATATTGATACAGTATCAATACACTAAAATATCATGATATTTCAGTGTATTGATATTTTCTTCCAGCCCTAGTAGCTAGCTATCTTCTCAAGATGCCAGTTATTCTGCGTTTTATCTTCTCATTCCATTGAGTAATTTTTGAGCAAAATGACTGTAAAGATAAGATAGCCTCAGCGCAGTCTTTTTTATTAGTTGTGATCCAGTTGTACTTGTCTTATCTGTAGGATTGGAACATTTAATCCCAACTCCTTAACTACCTGATGTCTGTTTGGAACAACAGTGGCGAGACCAGTGACTGTAGCTCATTAGCCAGAATAACCGTCCTTCCACCAGGCTGTCAGCCTTATGTTCGTCCTCCTTTTTTCACTGTATCTCTTAGCTAACACTTGATTTTATGGTAAAACATTTGTTTCGTTTTCCCACAGGCTACGCTCTGGCAGGTCCAGCGTCCTCAGCCGCCGTAGCGTCCCAGCTAAAGCAGGCTGTGTCTCTGGGTCAGGACTTGGCCGCCTTTGCTACCTATGAGGGCTACCCTGCCTTCGCTGTGGCCACACGCCACTCTGACGGATATGGTGTTTTCTAGAAAAAGCTAATTTTTAAGATAAAAAAACGCTGAGGCTAGGGTCAACTCCCCACCGGTCCTATTTCAGACATTTCAAAAGATTACGTTTTTTAAAATAAATCCACAATTTGACACAGCTTGGATTTAAACACAGAAAACACTGACACGTGAAAACGTTTGACCCAAATATAAAAACAGTTTTTTTCCATAGATGAGAATCTTGAGGTTGTACTAATCCGACGTTGATTTATTGATGATTATGTGACAGGAGCTTGTGATTGGCTGTTTGTGTAAATCATGTTTATTAATCTTTGTCAAGTCTGTGTTGTTATTACTGAGGTTGATATAGTTGATACAGTTCTGCTGAATTTCTTTTCAATTACAACAAATTCTTCTTTAGATTTTAGAATTTCCCTTCGCTTGATGTTGTAACCTTCTAGAAGCTTTTTGTCATGGCATCAGGGAGGAATTAGAGTCAGTCGAAAAACAACAGCCATAAGAATGACTCAGTGTTGGACCACACAGCACCACACCACCAAGAAGTTAGCCATTTGGACAGTTTAGCCAAAGCAGTAAAATTTTCATTGGACAGTTTAGCCAAAGCAGTAAAATGACTGTAACTAAACCGCAGCAATTACGCTAACCCAAACTTATCAAATGTGCAAAATATTAAAAATACAACATATGACAATACCTTTCCCAAAAAAGGGCTCAACTAGTAAACCCACGAATCCCCCATTAATAACTGCCAATGAAAATGTAAAATAAAATTAATTTTGTTTTGAACCCGTATTGTTTACAAACTACCAGAAAACATCTGCTTTTTTATAACGTTTGAGAGAAGACAGTGCCTCCCAGTGGTCACACGAAGGACTTACTTTTTGTTTCAACATCAGAGCTGTGAACACGTGGAAGCAGAGACAGTATTAAAGTGTGCGACACACGTCAAAGTTATTTTTATAGGAGAAATATCGGATATTGTTTTTACGTCGTTTTATCTCCGTGTTTAAAACCTGAAAAAGTCAAATCAAAACAATCGGTTTTTAGATGAGTTTTCACTCAAACAGAAAACTACTGTCATTCATGTTGAGCTTGTGATTCCTAATGTTAACACTGAAATAAAATATCTGACCAAACAGCGCCACCTATGTGTATGAATTGGATTATTCTGTTCTCTGATCCACTGAATGTCCTCCAGAACCACCTCCCACCTGGACCTTTGACCTTCACGATGTGGTAAAATCGGAAGACATTAGCAAGCTACATTTAGCCTCGTTGTAACTAGTCATTCCCTTTCTAACTAACCTTTAGACGAAGGTGAACTTCACAAATCTGTCCACGTTAGCATTTGTTTAGCTGTTTGGAACAGACTTGTGTGTGTGTTGGGGGTCAGGGAGTGTTGAGGTTTACTGTTCACTCTAACCTCATCACTGGTGTGAATGGGAGTGTGAATTGTCGTCTGCGTCTTACCCTGAGACCTGTCCACAGGGAAACCCACTCCTGGATCCATGAAGGTCCAGACCACATCCAGACCAGCTCCACCAATCAGAGGAGATCTTCTTGTTTTGAATCTTTTCTTTGGTAAAAACCAGAAACACACTGGACATAAAAACAAACAAAAAAAAAAGTTATTTTATGTCTTTATTAAGAAGAACACACAAATATACAGAAAACAGTTTTTGTATAAATAAAACTTCTTCCATCAGAGTAGAGACTAGTAACATTAGTTGAAGGCATGATCCTGGCGGTCCACGAGAAAACATTGACTAACTCTCACCTGGTGATTCAACAGAGAAGACTTTTGGTAAACTTCAAAGAAAATACGCCTTTTTATGTAAACCGATGTGGTTATGATGGAGAAAATTGAGCTAAAAACAGAAGAAAGTCAAATACAGGACAAAGTGGATTAAAAAATATATCAAATCTATTAACAGGAACTGTACAGCATGTTGTTTTCGCCATTGAACAGACTCGTAGAAAATCGTACGAAAAGGAGGCGGAGCTTCCAAGTCACTGTCAAAACATTGATCGACTGAAGCACTTCTTAATTCCAGAGGTCTGTTAGCAGCCATGTCTTCTGGAGGGGAGGTGGGGGTCAACACTTTTGTCCTCAGACGTTGGTGCCCTCCTGTGGTGTCCCATGAACTCTGAAGCGATACATGCACGTGAAGTCCTTATGTCCCCAGTTGGACAAAACCTGGACCTCCACAATTTGGAAACTTTGGTTATTTTCCTCCTGTCAGAAACAGTTTAACATCATCAGCATACAGGTGAACATTGATGGCCACACGTTCATTTCATTTAACTTTACTGACAGTTACGACAAACGTCTGCAGAGCGTCTCCGTCCTGGTTGTAGGTGTAAACTCCCAGCAATTTCCCTTTTTCCTCACTCGCGTCCTTCAGGCCCTGAGGAACAAAATAAACAGTCCACAAAACAAAGCTCTTCATGAAAACATTAGTACCATCAGCAGGGACACTCTTACAAAGACGTTGAACTCCCGGGGGGCGCTGTGCAGCGTCCCACTTGGTGCTAGTGCTTTGGGAATGTGTTCCAGGGAGAAGGCGGTGGGAAGGATCCTCATGGAGAGGCGGATCACCAAACAACCCCTGGAGCCTTTGAATGCCCAACAGTTCCCTGGATGAACATCTGGCTGTGGAAAGATTGGTGGCGCTGTTTACAGGACGGCCTATAAACACATTAGGTAGGGTTTAAAAAAAACAAATGAAAACCTACCTGGATGACGGTCCGAGGAGACTGAGAGAAATACCAGAGAGGAATACCAAACAGACTCAGCAGAGCTGCCTTGGTCTGGTAGGACTCAGAGCAACGGGTGCTCACGATGCTGCCCCCTGCGGGACATATGCATGAATTATCACGATCATTGCAGTCCCCACTATGGTGGCTGACTACAGCAGAGCACACACACAAACTGACCTCCAGACTCCAGAGCGTAGTCAGCAAGGCCCGTTTGGTCCTGAGAGAACAGTCGCAGAGCATTCTTCACAATCATGTGGACGTCCTGGAAGAGACAAAGACAGATGAAGAGAGACACACATGAAAAGACAAAGACACGAAGAGATATTCGGAAGTTAACTAAGCTAAACTCTAGTCTCCATGCTACTGCCGTTAGCTCAACATTGCTAAATGCTAACACTGCCGAAGTGATGTCTGGATATTACAGTGATAAGTCAGTTCTAATTATAGCGTATTTTCCGGATTTCAAGTCGCACTTTTTTTTTTCTCAAACCCTGGCTAGGTTTGCAATTTATACTCAGGTGTGATATATATGAAAAGATATAATTTC